CCGTTGCCCAGACGCCTCTCCCCGCAGGGACGGGCCGGACCAGAGCGCCCCGCAGCTCGGCGTCTTCAGTGGGAACACGGCCCTGGAGACCGCGTACAGCTCCAGCAGCCGCGTCCTGCTCAAGTTCCACAGCGACTTTTCCAACGGCGGCTTCTTCGTCCTCAACTTCCACGGTGAGCGCACGGCCGCCCCGCCGGCGAGGGCAGGGGCAAACCGGCCTCCCGGTGCTGGCACGCGCCCGGTCCCGAGCTAGCCCCCTGACGCTGCCGGGGGGGCCTCGGGCGTTTTCTGGCACTCGATGCCGGCGCTTCCTGTGACGCCTTTCTGCTCGGTGACACCTTTATTGCCTCACGTTGTATAGTGTGATTTGCGGTAAACTTGGACTCGTTGCAAGGTAAGTGTCAACGGAACTCTGATGGGGAAGCCACCGGGACACATTCGGCCCTTTCCCGGATGAGACAGAGCAGCGGATGCCGCGTAATTACGCGTGGGGCGAAAGCAAACCTGTCAAGATTTTGAGAATGAACGCTAAGTAATTGGGAAAAAAAGAATATCGTCAGTCCCTTGTCGCTCAAGAGGACTGCCCCCCGTGGAAGCCCTCGGAAGACAGGACGGAGGCCTCATCACACCTAAGTGTGGACGTGGCTGTGGGGGGCCGTGTCCCTTCCAGGCGCCACGTGTGCGTAAGGCGTTAAACTTAAATGCTATCGCTTTAAAATCGTTTGCGTATCCCCTTTGCCCTGAGACATTCCTTGGCATTAAGTAATTCCGGGCGCGTTGGAGGCCTGAGAGTTTTATAAAACGATGATTTACAAATAGAGACGTTTCCGCGAGCTTGGGCGTGACAGCGGAGTGTGAGGGTCGCCCTCTGAATAATTGTGTTCGCTCAGCAGAGGTCACTACAGCTTTGTTGATTTGGTGTTTTTTTTTCCATGAACCATTTAGCATTTCAGCTCAAGAGATGTCAGCCTCCCCCGACAGTGCTGCGGGCCGAGATGCTCGCCGAGGATGAGGACTACGAAATAGGTGAGCGCCCCTGCGCCGTGAGGCCGTGGGCGCCCCCGGCCCCCTGCCACCCGCGGCCGTCACAGAGACACCCCAGAGCGCCGCCTGTCCAGCGAATGCGTTTCCTCCTGCGGTTCCGTGATTGTCGGGTTCTGCCATCTGAAGTTTGCTTTGGTCATTTTGAGCACGCTCTCCCCCAGAGCGTTCACGAGTTCGTATTTTTCTTTTGAGTAGTTTTCAGAGACAGGACGACGTTGATGTCTCGTGAGGGACACACAGCCATGTGCCGGGGGAACGTGACCATTTGTGGCTAAAACAATGATTAGTGTGACTTTGGCCTTTCGTTGACGCTGGGGCGTTGTCGGCGAATACGTCTAATGACGATATTTAGAAATTCTGCCTGGTCATTCTGCATTAACGGTCTGTTTCATTAGAGAGGCAGCAGGTTGCCCTGGGAAAGCAGCCGCCGTCTGTGTTTGCAGTGTGATTGTCGTGACGAGGGATTTCGTGGTCTCGGTTACAAATACTCCGTCCGGCTGTCACGCCACTGGTCAGGCCACATGACCCGACTTCTGCAGCACTCGCAGTGGCTGAGTGACGGGGACGTGCTGCCCGTTAGGCCGAGGTCGTGGTCGGCCGTCCTCCTTCACGACCTTAATCCCGAGCATCCATGTCACCCTCGTGTTCCGTAATCCTCAGGGAGGAACGAACACAGACCCGTTTAGTCCAGGAAGAAAATCTGTCACGTAATGTCCGTACCGATGGGGTTAAGTTTGAGATAGCGTTTTCATAAGTGAAGAACCGAAGATGGTAATATTTTGTTAAACAGTATGAAAGTGCACGTGGACGTGTGTCCCGTCGACTGAATTTGTCAGGTCGTCGTGTGTGTGCGGTGCACGCGCGCGCTCCGAGCGTCCGGAAACGCAACTGCCACGCGCGCGCGCGTGTGTGTGTGTGTGTGTGCTCTCTTTCAGGAGATTTCGTGAGGTACCAGTGCCACCTGGGCTACACCCTGTCCGGGGCAGACACGCTGACCTGCCGGCTCAGCTCCCAGCTGCAGTTCGAAGGCACCGTCCCCACGTGCGAAGGTACGCGCCCCCCCGACCCTGCCCGGGCCCGCGGGGGTCCCAGCTTCCCCTCCCTCGGGGCCTCGACCCACCGCGATTCAGAGCGCCTGCCAGCGGGAACGTCGGTCCCGTCCGCGTGGCTAGAGCTCTGGAGATTAAACCACAGCGGCCAGGACGTCCTGCCGTTCTACCCACGGTTTAAAAGCAGATGTTTTAGACAGATGGCAAAATCGAAATGATTTAAAAAGGCATCCTGCATACCCACCGGCTAGGTCCCCCCATCGACGTGTGCTGTGCATCTCCTGTCACGTGTCTACCTGTTATCTTTCTGTCCTGTTCCTCTAGCTGATAGTTTTGATGCATTTCAAGGCAAATTGTGGGCATCAGTGTACATCCCTCCGAATCCTTCAGCGTGCACGTTAGCTCCTGCGTACTGTTTTTTCTGCAGAATGTGTAAACACTGAGATGCACATACGCTTCGTGCAGCAAATACACGCTTTTCATATTGCTGCGTGTCACCAATAGTCACAAGCCGTTTACAGTAACAGACAGTGAACAACCGCAGAACAAGATTGGAGGCCGAATCTGTTCACTCGAGTATCTTAATATGATTAGGTCACTTTTGAGAGATCATTTAAAAGACACCACACTCAAGTATTGTTGGAAGAGAAGGGACTTGGGAGAAATATGAATAAGCTGAAATGGCTCAGTGTGAGTCAGAAGTGTCACTGGTTTGCCTATGAAAAAGCTCTGCAAATTAAAACAGTTTTCATTTCACGACTTCAAAATCACGATGCACGTTGAGTTCCTTCAAAGAGTGGAACTCGCCCATCGCAAGGGATTTGAGCATCGCCATCGTTAAGGCCGGCGAGGCGCCTGACAGGGCCCAGGCGGGGTGGAGACGGGCCAGGGCCTCGGTCTGGACTCTGTCACATGGCCGTGGGCGGGTGGCGAGCGCCTGGGCACCGCGTGTGAGGACACGGGTCGTCTGCGTGTTTCCTGGACGCTCGTGACCTGCAGCACACTTGAAATTGTTTTAAGTGCTTCGCCGCGTTCGTAATCTGCCCCGGGAAAAGCGATTTTCTCTGCGTTGCAGAGTCCTGTTGATTCCACAAGTGACTCTGTCAGAGGCTCCGGTCACCTGCCCCGTGCTCTCTGTCCATGAGGCAGAATGCCGGCCTCCCCGAGAGGCGGAAGCCATTTCCAACGTCTGCAGAATGTCTGCAGTGAGTCGTTACTAAGCAACCATGATGACTTAGATTCTCTCTGTGGCAGGTTCCCCTTCGAAGCATCTCTACGGAGGAGACCGCACGGGAGGGGCCGCCCGCCGGGGTCGGGGGCCGCTGGGGTGCAGGGCCGTGTCGTGACTGCGGTGGGCTGCAGCGCCTCGCCCGAGCGGCCACGGCCCGCGTGCGGGCTTTTCCCCGAGGGGTGGGGCGGATCCCGCGTGTCCTCCGCCGTCTGATAGAGACGTTAACTGAGTCTTCACACGTCAGGGCACGTTTCGACCTCAACACGCTCAGCTTTGCGTGTCTCAGAACAGGGGACCTGAGCCCAGACGGGCGTAGCTGAGTAGAGGCAGCGTGAACGCGTATTCATGCGATGCGCCAGCTCCAAACAGAAAGAAAACCCTTCATAACCGGGTCGTTCTCTGCCCCCGACGTGGCTACTTCACGTTTAAATTAAGTCGGTTAGTGAGGACCGAGGCACCGGGCACCCTGAGCGTCACTCAGCTCCGCTCCCCCGCGTGTGCTCTGTGTGCCCTGTGGACAGGACATGCGGTCCCCACCGAGCCCCGGGTCCCCGGGCCCTGTGGACACGAGCTCTCCGCTGCGCAGGTCCGGAGCGCGTTTGTTTAAAACAAACAGTCATCGTCACCATTGTTCCCTAAACACCTCGTTATTTTAAAAAGGGAGCAGGGGCTCAGAGAACTTTCTTCAAAGCAATTAATTCGGATCTTTCTGCCAGAACTTTTCCATTATTGATTGACTTCGTTGGGCTCAGGTGGGGGCCAGGCCCCCAATACTTTCTTGATGAAAACTTGCATCACCTCGGAGCCTGCGTCTGCGGACGCCAGCGCCACCCCCAGAAGTTCTGCTCCGAGAACAGTCTCCGCCTCTGGGGCGGCTGAGGGCTCCTTGGGAACGTGCAGCCAGTGACGCTTGCAAGTTCGCAGCGCAGGCAGGTCAAGATCACCTCGCTGGATACTTGATTTAGGGGGAAAAGCGAGCGAGGGTCCGGACGGCCGTCCAACAGCAGCGGCCAAGCAGTCCCCGCGCTCTGTGGCACCGGCTGGGTGTCCTGCAGCTGAACTCAGTTCTCGCAACAGCTGGCTGGGGCCGGCACCGTCCCCCGGGCTCGTCAGGGCCGAGGTCAGGGAGGGCCCAGCCCAGCACTCCCCTCCCGGCCTGCAGTGCCCTCGGCAGCCCTGACGCTCCTCAGACCTCATCTTTCAAGAGTTTTTATGGAGCTAAACCTCCCTGATCCGATCCCC